TATAGAACTCAACTCTAGCATCTATATAACATAACATCTATTTAAATCTGTTTACAAATTTATAATTAAAGGCACTCTTAAAATGGGAAGTAACACTGGTAGTCATCTCCGTAGCGTTTGTTTGAAAACAACAAACACAAAAGTTGTACTAACTTACCGTTAAAAGTTGTCGATTTGAATTGGCTTGTGGATAACTTTAAAGCATATAACAAGTAACTTTGCTGTTTGTGGATCATCTCTATTCAACTTAAAATTTTAGACTAAAAATTAATGATACTTTCTAAAATATAATATTTCCTTCTTATATCAGCTTTAGGGAATATTCACACTATCGCGTAAGCATTATTGTAGAGTCATATTAGCTTTCACTCTAATACAGCTTTTAAGGAAACTGGTCTTAACTGCAGCCAATTAGAGAAGGGAAACCTTATGTATATTTGGCCTTTTTTAAATTTGCAGCGATTTTTAAGTTCCACCAATTGTTCTTCATGGGCAAATTTTCAGTTCCTGCTTTTTTAATTGTTTAATTTTATTTTCTACTACCATTTGCAGTAAACACTTTTTTGACTGCCACAGTAGATAGTTTCAAATTTTAAAACACAAAAACATAACTTCACAGTTTTCCAATTTCTGTGTCAGATAGTTCCAAATGTTAAGCAAATTATTTCAAAAAGTCCTCCATTGTCTGCGTTAATAACAGCGCGTATCCTGTACTTAAACAAGGATGCTGAATGTTAGCGTTCAAAGGAAGTCGAAATTTATGACCCGCATTTCACTGCTATTAATCACTTTCCCTTTCTTTCGTATCAGATTTGCCATAAAATCGATTATTTTGAATTTTATATCTAACTTCTTATATCACCTATGTCTGACGTTGCATGGTCCCTTTGCCTAGCAACAAAATTCTCCTTTTATCACTTGTGACCATCTGCCATTGTGTGAATGCTATCTTAGGGTTCAAAAACTGGCTAGATAACAATACTATGGGACAGGTTAAACTATTTTCTTCCTTCTTCCTGCATGCCTTAGTGCAAAACTTAATCAAATATCTAATAGACAATTGTGATCATTTAAAAGGAACATAAAGTAAATCCAAGATTCGAAATATTTCATATTTCAAAATAGTTCAAGATATTTCATCTCAGAAGCTGTTACAGAACTTTCAAATTAGAATTAATTAATTTTTAATTTTTATGTATGGATATATCAAAAATGTTTCTTATAATTTATTTTAATGTATATATTTATGTATAATGATTTAATGTATATATCCGAATTTCATAGTTATAAAATTTAAATAAAAATGTCTCACTGAGTGAGCAATAAATCTGAAAATAGTTCGTAGGATCCCGCTTTTACAGATATAGTGAGAATTTAAGTTAACGATTAAAAATGAGTCATTTCAAATTAGAATTACAGCGTAAGAAATACTTTAAGGCTGAAGCGTTAAATGCTGTCATATATGGCTGCCAACAGAAAAGAAAACTCGCGAAATATTGTTTTTAAGATCTGTTGTTCATTGTTTTTAAGGAATTATTTTTTTCTGCTTTTTGATGAGTGACGCGATCAACTCAAATATATGAATAAACATCTGAACAAACACATTACAAATTTTAAAATGTGTAAAGATTCAATGAATACATTTATAATGGTAATATATAAATTTCGGAGCAACGTAGCATGTATAAATATGAAAGTTGATTTGATAAAGTTACTTAAATTTAAAAAATGAAAAATGCAATGAGATTTAAAAGCAGTGTAACTAAATATATATAAAATGTGACTAAAATAAGTGCACTTTTCTTTCTCACCAGATGGCAGTAAACCTAATGATACGTAAAGTTTCATGAAAATAATAGCAGTTTTATATGCAATATATATGATGTTTGATATGCGCAAAGCCGAATTTGTACAGTTCTGTCATGCTTTCTAAATGAAAACATGAGAGAATTCTATAAATACTGCATCGTGTACAGCTTCGTTATTATGTATATTAAACATTATACATGCTATCACGGTTATAGGAAAAAAACCCACAGGAAAAAAGCCCACAGGGAAAAGTGCTCACAGGTATAAATGCTCACAGGAAAAAAGCCCACATATAAATATGCCCACAAGAAAAAAGCTCACATGGAAAAATGCTCACTTAGAAATATGCTTACACGGAAAAAAGCTCACATGGATATATGCTCACATGGAAATAAGCCCACTCATAAATAAAATACGTAGAAATATACTTACATTAATCAATCTTGAATATCGTACATATACTTGAATTGTTTAAAGAAAAATTATTTGATTATTTGAAAAAATTATTGGATAAATGCTCACATAAACATTTTCAGGGGCGGTATACAAAAGAATGAAAACTATAGTAAAATTTTGCATGTTCTATAATATTTTATACTACTGCCCCTGTATGACATTTTTATTCCTTTAACTAAGTTAACTTTTGTTTTTTTTACTCTATTTTTGCATACTTTTAATATGTATTTATAGAAATTGGTGTTTGAATGTAGTTATTTAAGTTTGGCAGCCAAAAACGTTCTAGAAGACCACAATTTCCAATCGAAGTGTGGAATCATTATGATGCAGCCTTCAAAAAATCCCCTAAAACCAAAAATTGTTACGAAAGCTTTCATAAGGTACTAAATTCATTATTTAATTGTATCCATCCCAGTATGTGGTTTTTATTTGACGGGCTCAGAAAAGATTTAGCCTGTCAACGTTTATTATTAGCTATTGTAAATACATAGAGTACTGAAGAACAAAAAAGAAAATATGAAAACTTACATTTGCTAATCGCGAGTCATGTAAAAAACTGATGAAATCGATGATAAAATTAAATATATATTAGCTAATATACAGCACGTTTATGTATTCATAACTTTTTTAAATATATATTTGTTATTTATATATAATAAGGTACTTTACGTAATTTAAATAAAATAATTATTTATGTTTACTTATTCTTATAAATGTTTCTATTATAAAATGTGTAACTTATATTTACTATTATTTTATTTTTTTAAAACAATTAAAATTGTAATAACTTTTCACTGTATATTCTGTTTCATTTTATCCCTTCTTTCTCTCCTTTTCCCAATTCAAAACGGCCCATTTGTTAAACTTATATAGTAACTGAAGCTACACATAAATTATACAGTTTTTGATATATATATATATATATATATATATACACGATAGACGTTGGTAATTTAAATATTTTTCTATGAACAATTCACGTAGATGTACGATATTCAAATCGATTAATTATTGATTGACTAATCCAAGGATATTTTTACCTATTTCATTTATCAGTGGGCTTATTTCCGTGTGAGCATATATCTATATTATCTTTTTTCCGTGTGAGCATATTTCTAAGTGAGCATTTTCCCATGTGAGCTTTTTCTATGTGGGCATATTTCTGTGTGGGCTTTTTTTCCTGTAAGCATTTATACCTGTGAACATTATTCTGTGAGCATTTTTCCTCTGGGCATTCTTCCGGTCCCCGTTATCACAGCACAGCCACAGCTATTCATGACGGCCATATTTGGCGTTTTTTCGGCGACTGGTAACTCGTTAATAGAAAAGTACAAAAATCTCTGCATTACTCAATAAAAAAAAAGGAAAACAATGGTTGTGAGGCAGACCACTCGGAACATCACCTCGGCGTCTTTTCCAAAGTAGTATTGTCAACTGGAATGCCAAAAGGAGAAAAGTGCATATTATGATTAAGTTTACGAAATCCAGTTTTGGATCTTGTCTTAATAAACTTTTATTGCTGTGGCAAGATCGAACGTACCGAAAGTTATATTTGCTTTAATATGTAGTTTTATGAAGTATGAGGAAACTTTGTGAATATTTAATCGCCGAAAATAAAATTTAAAATTTGTTCTTAAAGTATCATCAGTGCTAAGCAATAAAACAAGAGCCGAATGTTATTTAAATCCTTAAAATGTTGATCTTAAGATTACATTCAATCAGGTCCCCTTTTTCGATAACTATATAATATTTTACAAATATACAGTTACTGAATTGCATATACTTTTTTATTTTATGATAAATATTAAATTCTTTTGTTAAAAATTCAACTTTCAATGAGCATTTTTAGTATCGTAAACAATCATCTCAATGATGATTATCCGTAAACCTATAATGTTGATTGCTGCCCTGTCTTGACCTAGAACTATAGTTACAATAGGTAAAGACTCCAGCTAATATAAAATGATTTTCCTTACATTCTAATCATTGCATACTATTTTTCAATGAACACATTTATTTATATTAGACTTTAGGAATAATAGCATTTACAAATTTCTTTTATTCAAATATTAGTTTAATGCTAGTTCTCATTAATTCCATGAAACTGTGGAAGCACTAATCTTCCGCTATCAAAATCTAGCAGGCTACAATGTGTAATTCAGAACGGCTGTACAAACGACCATATTCGGTGTTTCATTAAGAAGAATAGCAAAATCTCAGCGGCAGTTTGGTGTTTAATTTCGCTGCAAAACTTCCTTTATTACTCCCACTGGAATAATTATATTACATATAGGCCAAGGCTATCTTGAATAGTATTTCTTAAATGAAAATGACTTACGATCTACGATAAAAATATGTAATGTTTAATCCGCAGACAAATAATCTTCGCTTTCGATGCAGAATAAAGAATTGTACTTGACAGCTACTTTTAGGTTTTATTAAAATGATTTAATATAAATTACAAAAAATTACAAATTATGAGTCTCTAGCTTGCCATATAACAATCTAGATACTACTAAAATATCGAAAAATGAATAAATTCGAAAGTTACCAGGATATCTGGAAATTGCTGGGCATTTTTTTACCAATAATGAAACTGCCTTGTCGAATCTCCACGTGAATGTTAAAAGCCATGTCAAATATTTTTTTTTTACTTGTTCAAAATGTGTCAGATTTTATTTGCTTCTAGCTTAATGCAAACGCCACTTTTATTGATTAGAGCTCTATTTTGACAGGAAGAAAGTCACAAGTCTTACCGGCCCTTATGTGTACTGACATTTCGCCTGAACTATTTGCTGCATGGGCTGAACCCTTTGGGATATCATACGGTAAATGTGATTCTCCACGCTGCAGTGTGTCTCCTTTATCACAGGTACTTCCATTTGATTTCTTATATAGTTTAAATCTTGAGCATTAAAATATTATGTGAAAATTGGCTCAAGATGTAAGCAACATTAAATATGCCGATGCTTATCCTATTTACGAAAAATAAAGACGTAAAATTTGTTGATTTTATGATAAGACAAACAAATAACACCTAAGTATAAAATTGATTTTCTTTGCTCTAAACAACCGAAAATATTTAATTTTACAAGAATAAATTCACTATGCAGTATGAAATTTTAATCATGCTTGGGCTAGTTATTTTAATTTGTTTAAGTTATCTTTAGGTTTAACTCTTTCCTGCTCAACTCGTATTCTTTTATATTTGTTTGCCCGATTCTAAAATTCAATGCAGTTACCCAAGTTTACAATTTACATAGCGTTCGTTGTTTAATTCTGCTTAGTTTTAGCAAAAGCTGCCTTCTATTGCAAAACATTACTTGTTGCTTATTGAATTATTCCTGTTATGCTGTCGTTGATTGGAAGTCATTAAAGTGAGATGCCGTTGATAGGAAGCCGCTGAATTTGAAATATCTATAGTTAGAACTCGATTATTTCCAAGTATTTATTTGATCAAGTAATTAAATTTTGTTTGTAATTGCACATGGCTGTAACTTATTTTAAGTTATAAAGCTCTGTACTGATAAAATTAAAATTTCAGTTATTATTATTAACTTCGTTTGTAAGCCATTATTCCTTTGCTGCAAAATCTTGCCGTGACATTAATTGTAGCCTAATCTAAGCCATAATATTTTAGTCAGATTTAATTTCTTTTCTCTGTTTGCTTGTTGATATCCTTCTCTGGATTAGATATTGAAAATAGTTTTTGACTTCCTTTTATTGATCCAATATTCTAGAAATATTTCATGTGTAATCAGTATGCCTGAGTAGTATTACATACTTGTAAGAGGGGTAAGGAGTACCCAGACAACTCGTAGTCACATCACAGTTTAGGATAGGAAATGATGTGTATATAGTAGTATACACAAAAGTAACACCAGAAATAAAAGGACAGCACCCTGTAATTGAGTGTGCGTTTTCATAATAAATATACATTCACAGCAGTAAACGTGGTCAACGAAGGTTGTCAATGTCTCCTCCACATCTATAATATGGATCAAACATATAATAGGTTTGCAGACTATTCTGGAAATTTCTCGAACTTCTTCGATAGCTACTGCGATGCGTGCAACCAGTTCATCAGCGCTCTCAGCGGGGAATCATGCACCAGTGTTTTCATATGTCCCCAGAATATTGTGGATCATTGGATCACTTCAATGATCCACAAGAATATTCATATATTGAATTATCCTCTCCCACTAACATAATAAATACACAGAAATAAATCTCCGACTGGTCTGTCGACCCTGTCTTCGGGCTGGGGTTGAATGGGTAGTAGACATATTCCTGCCGATTGAACAAAATGGCTTGAATAGTAGTAGCAGGTGAGCCGCCCAGTCAACAGTGCCAAAAAATTATAAAAAAATACAAATAAATACATATAAAATCACTAATCCTAAAACCTCTTTTTTGTTTACGAAAGGCATAAATAATGTTAATGAGATTTCTAAAGGCATGATGAGCCCAAAGACCGAGCAAGCCAATATCCTGGACCACTGTTGGCTAAATTTGACGGATAAATTTAACGTCTAACTACCCCAGTTTATAGATAGATCACCTCAGCATCCGTAAAAAGCGTTTTTACCAAGTGCTGGCACCGACGGCACATAATACGTCAGGAAAACACTTCCAGGCCTACATTTCTATGCCTTTCCAAGTCATCTGAATGCATACTACCCCGTAATCAGTTACTCCTACAAGTTTGTAACTATGATACGATGCATATTTTCGTTAACAATTCAACTATTCACGGGAATGTTCTAATCAGTAGAAGAAGGACATTGGTTGTTACGTCATCGGATTAATCGACAAATAATCTGTCAAATGAAGGAATTTTTTTTTTCGGAATATCTAATGCAGTTTAGCAAATCTTGACGATTTTTCAGAAATCATTCAAGTCAGATAATTTTTATTTGCTTTGGTATAATCAATCTGAAAAAAAATAAATTTAAAATCACTCAACCTTTTCTTACCGTGCATTTGGTAACAATCATAGACGTTTAAATAAAATTACCTAATTCTTCAGTATAAATTGCCCCACAGTTGTTAATAATTATAGTAGAGTATTTGTAAATCGATACAAAATCTCAAATTAGTAGAAGCCATCGTATACATTATACAATTTAAGCTATCGTTTGCAACTTAAGCCATCGTATACATTGGATGACTTTAGGAGTCGATCAAATCACGCCAGTTTCATTGCTACGTTGATTAGAAAAAAAAAATTGTCGGACATTCTGAAGCAATATTTTTTCTTATATTATATAAAATAAAACATATAATAAATGTGCAAAATATTTTGAATTCATGCACTGCAATATTAGTTATTTGCATGTCTTATCGATGTCTACGCGTGGCGCAAATTGCAAGCCATTGGATGCTTCCTTCATAGTGTTACTGTTTGAAAGTTGGTTTTTTCCTTCCCCCACCCCCGGATAAAAAATAAAATGTGTTATTTTCAACTTTCCTGAGTACTTAACTAAAATTGCGTAAGTTACACGATATGTATATATACTATATTTACTCGCATATTTCTCTCCCTTTTTTCCGTAAGTTTATCGCTTGAAAACCGAGAAGGAAAAAATACACGGTGTGTACATTTTCTAGAGACACTTTAAATGATATACACAGTAGTGTAAACAGCACACATAAAGATACAGCAATAAAGACTTACCAATTTCAAAAATATTCAGAAATTGGTAATTTTTTTAAATTTTTTATTGTGTTATTCATTCGAGTATACCAAAGAAATTAATTTCTTTAGATTTTAAGACTGTAATATTTTATAATATATAACCATTTAATTTATTTCGTTTTTGTTCCTTTTTTTTAATTTCTAAATTTTATTTGCATTAATAAGCTTCGGTAAACTTTTATATACTTACATGGCTGTGTTTTTTTGTACTGAAAGACGAAGAATTTTTAAAAATTAAAAAACGTATAACCCCAAGCCATAATTTGATATAATTTTAGTTATAAAACTATTTTTATGTTACCATATATCCGCCATATACTATAATAACAATAATCAACGTCAATTTGAATGAAAGATTACTCGTAAGTAATTTTTTTGCCTCTTTGAAATTTTGTATAGGATAAATGCATGTATGCTTACACGTGCATCAAATTAGATAGTTTTTTCTTAGTCCAAATGGGCTTTGTCCCTGAAGGACTTTATGAAAAATCTGCATAAATGTAAGTATATTTCTCGCATTGTGATAAAACAACGGTACATAGAGCCATCGAATTTTGAATGACGTAATACTCCTACGAATATGGGCATGTGGAAGACCAAATTTGAAATTTGGAATTTGTTTTATTATCGATTTCCTAGTTTGTAAACCTTTAACAAATTTTTGATTAACAAACTCAAGGATTTCAAAGAGAGCAATGGCAACGTTGTACGAAAAAACATCTCCAACGCGTGTCTGAAGATGTTTTTTCCAGAGCGTGTTTCGAGTCTCTGTATCGGAAGTTCTAAAGATATGCTCATTTTAAAACTATTTTGCGATATTGCTGTTGAACCGAATTTTATATGCGAAGAATGTGATATTTAATAAATAAATGTAGCACACAAAATGGTAAAGAAACGCCCCTAGCCACTATGGACGTAATTTAAAATATGAAACATTTCAGATTTTCTTTTTTCTTACTTTTTTTTTATTTATTATTTTTGTATTATTTTGTATTTATGTTTCTCTTCCAGATTAAAATCTGATGCGAAATTGTCTCACTTTAATAAGCATTTACTAGTTATATTCATGAAAATAATGCGCATGCAATGTAACTATTATGTTTAGGAAAATAACCATAATTTAAAATACTCGTATACAGAGCCAAATAATAATAATCTTGATACAACGTTAGATAATACGCACGTAAAAAACTTTGAAATATACTTTACCTCCCGAAAAGAGGCAAAAAAGTGAAACATGTGAAGGAAATGTGAGGCAAAAGAATGTTTCCGGCACTGAGCTGTCCGGCATCTGTTCGCAAATCCGGCTTTTACGGTTGCCGAGGGAAAAAAGAACGAAGATCAGAAACCATATTTGTTTCGCTCCCATTCTTTACGACTTCTATCCAAAATAACTGCCCTAACTCGTGATTTTTAGAAAATGGAGGCTGAGTATTTTATGAGAGCGAAGTATCATTCGGCTGTTCGAATTTCATATATTGCATGCGAAATGTTCGAATTCCGGGAAATCTTGGAATTTCTTGTTTACGATGCGAGAATAGAAAAAGACGCTTACTACCATGCGATGTGCTTTGCCTTCGAGCTTGAGTGATGCATGAAAACTTAAATTCCTCTCTTTGAATATTTTTATTTGAAATTTTTCCAAGGGAAATAAATAAGTGGCGGAAATTCTGAGAGAATTTGATGCTTCATATCACAATTGATAGGGAAGTTAGAAGTCGTTTAGCTAATGGAAGAATCGGATTGCTATTCGCTGCCATATTTTGAATTCTCCCGAGAAGCCTAATTTAACACGGTATCTTCAAGACTTGCAGGTGATTATTAATTTTTAAAATTCATTCACCCCTTTTTTAATAAAAGCGTGACATAGTTTAAATTTAAATTTCTAAATTCTGCTTGCTAAAAAATTGCAGGGTAAACGGAGTTTTTTATTTTGATTTATAAATTGCATTTCTTCAGTATTTTATGTTGAAGTTCTAAAAAGCGAAGTTGTAACGTTCGTAGTGTGAAATAGTTTGAAACTCACTTTACGTCTAATGGCTAAGTATTTCATGGGTCGCTGAGTGGTTACGGTCACTGTGAAGTTCCTTCCCCTGATGAAAGACGAAGAACGGAAGTGACTTACTCCGGAAAAACCGGTCGAGGCAGGCTGGTTTGGGGAAGAAAGACTGGAC